TGTGTAGAAAATTTGACCATTGATTGAAAAAATAGTTTTTCTAAACGTACCGTACACGTAAGACTGTACACTTACATCTCTAACATGGGGTTCTCTCATGTGATGGGGCTATCATGATTGATGTACAAAGTGTTGTACACCAAGTATAACTCTTAAAAAAAAGTGTTGTTAAAATATATGTACAAAATCTACCAACTCACATAATGTCAAACTTGATGTAAAACATAATGTATAAGCAGTATGATTGTTGCTAAAAATATGTTTTATTTGTTATTTTGAAATATTATTTCTCAAAACAGAAAATTAGAAATACAGTTTGGTATGAAATTTTTAAAAATTATTTTAGAACATTTTATTTCGTGAAATTTAATTATTCGGTAAAAATAAAACTATACAAAGTTGGTGAATTTTACAATATTTTTTCTCACTCTGAAAGTAAAATAAAAATAAATAATAAATTGAGTTTAAAATAAAAATAATTAATGAGAATGCTAAGAATATTTTTATTTATGTTCATTTAAATGTTTTTAAAATTTTTTATACAAATATCATTAAGAGTTTGATCTATTTTATTTTTATTTTAATAGAATCTTTTATAATTTTAATTTTTAAGAATTTTATAAATTTATTTTCAAATTATTTATTTTTTTATGATTTGGAATTTATCAGTTTTATTTTTCGGTTTTTTTTTATGAAATTTAAAAATGTATTTAAATTTTTGTTTTATATGTTTCGAGTATTTTCAAAATGTCAAAAATGAGTTTTGTGTTCTATGTTATAAGTTTAACATTGATTTCAAAAAAACATTTTTAGAAATATCAAACCAAACATGTTTTTTGTGTTTTGCAAAATTAAAACAGCTTGAAAACAGTGAACTAAATGCACACTAAGTAATTGTTTGGTAGTGTTTGTCAGTTCATAAGGTGTGAATCTTATTTATTTGAATAGTTATAGATTTATAGTATTACTATTTAGCACAATTGATGTTACAACATCAGTCTAAATTGTACCAGTGACATTAAATAAGACATACAATTAAACTCCTATTTAAAATTAGGATGTGTTTGATTGATGTTTTTTTATTATTATTAAAAATGATATTTTTTCATCCAAATTCATACTTTGGGATGTTTAATTGATATTAATTTTCATGGAAAATATTTTCCAAAAGTTGGTCATATGACCTTAGGGATGGACATGATCCGATTCGGTTCGATTTTAATGAGAACCAAACTGACTCGAATTTTTTGGGTATTTAGTAAGTGGAACCGTTGGGTTCAAATTTAATTACGGAACCGTTCGGGTTCGGTTCGGTTCGGTTCAGTATTATAATTAAATTTTTTAATATATACAAAGTTACGTTAATTTAATTAATGATATGTTCAATATTAGCTCTTACAAAATAACGTAGTTCATTCTTATATGTTTCACGTCTCTCTATACTGAATTCTTTATAAATTTGATTATTAAAATCACAAAAAGAGAAAGATAGCGAGCTCAAAATAATTAAGAGAGATGTTGTAGAACTTTAATTCGATTTTCTCCGGTAGAAACGACACTACAGTAGAATAACAGATTTGGGTAAAATTGAGGTTAATTTGATTAAGTTGATTTTGAACTGAAAATTAGAAATAGGAAAATCATATTTTGTGATTTGAACTAAATTAACTAGTTAACAAATTTATTTAGAAAAAATAAAATAATTTTACTTATTTAAAATAAGCCCCCGTTTGAGCCCCATTATTCCTCATTACATTAAATTAAATTTTTCTCTCTCCTACTTTTAACCACACAATCTTCAATAAAATAATATTACACGTAAATCAAAATCTTTTCTTTTCTTTTCAACCACTCATTTTTCAAAAAAACACTATTCAAAACATTATAATTTCCAAGAAATGGGGCTCAAACAGGGGCTAAATTAATTAAAAAAATTACGGAGATTCGATTTTTATTCGGTTTTTCGGGTCTTGGCCTAGAATTGATAACCGATCCATATCCGTCGGTTCTTGATTCAAATACTCGTTCGGGTATTTAACTTCAAAAGAACCGTCAAGTTCAGTTGGGTTCGGTTCGGGAGTTTTGTCCAACCCTAACCATACTTTTCTCCAAAACAAGGAAAACAATTTTTTTACATAGGGGTAGATTTTTATTTTTCAGGTAATTTACACTGTTACTCTTATTTATCCACCAATAAAAGTTGGATAAATATGATTTTTAAGTTAAAAATTAAACCAATTGAACACATATAATTAATATTTTTCATATAAATAAGTTGAAGAATAAGATTTCTAGATGGGCGTCAAGACTTCTTTCTTCTGGTGGTAGGATCACTTTACTGAGGTCAGTTCTCTTCTCCCTACCAATATATCTTTTCCAGATTCTGCGACCTCCCAAGGTCGTACCGAAAAAGCTGGAGAATATATTTGTGAGATTCCTATGGGATTCTAAAGATCAGGCACGGAGATTACATTGGCGGAGTTGGAAGGATATTTGCTTCCCTACTGATGAAGGTGGATTGGGCTTCAGAAGACCACAGGATATGGTGGACGCATTCTCCGTGAAGTTATGGTGGTTATTCAGATCCCAGAATTCTCTTTGGACTCAGTTTTTATTGGGCAAATACTATAGAGAGACACATCCATCACTTGCAGCTGTCCCTAATTCAGCCAAACCACACATTGCATGGCAACTTGGAGCGGGTCAAAATTTCTTTTGGCATGATTGTTGGATGTGCGATACTTCTTTAGCGTCTATCCTCCCACACGGGCAACACATATTCGAGAGAGTGCAAATTTTTTCAATGAGAATGGATGGACTTTGAACGATTAATACAAGCTCTTCCACCAGTCATGGTAGAGCAGATTACGGACATACACTATGTGTCCATGTCCCAGATCGCATTTTTTGGAGGGCTACATCAGATAGTAGATTTGCCACTAAATCAGCATGGTAGTTGATCCATTCAAGCAAACTCGTACAAGATTCATTTCGTCTCCTTTGGAGTCCTATCATACCTACCAAAATCTCGTTCTTCTGCTGGAGATTATGGCAGGATTTGATTCTAGTGGATACTATCATTCAAAGAAGGATTGGCAGTCAGTTGGCTTCTCGATGTTAGTGTTGTTCTGAGATTAAGACCATCACTCATATTTTTACTGGTAGCGACATATCAGATCAGGTTTGGCAACATTATGGAGGTTTATTTCAGATTACTATGATTACAGGTGAGAGCATCAGACAGAGATTTCTGCGATGGCATTATTTTAAACAGCTTGATTGGTGTGGACACGTTCTCATCATTATCTCTCTACTAATTTTCTGATTTTTATGGATCGAGAGGAATGAAGTAAAGCATAGGGGTATCCGCATGAAAGCAACACGAATCATTTGGAAGATATATCGTATGATCTCATTCCTTCACACAGGAGGATTACTTCAACCACTACACTGATGTAATGACATGCAGCTTGCTTCACTCTTTAGGATTACTATGACCCTCTCTTTATCTCCTCCCCCTATTATAGTGTGGTGGCACACTCCATTAGTCGGATCTGTCCTGCTGGAGATTATGGCAGGATTTGATTCTAGTGGATACTATCATTCAAAGAAGGATTGGCAGTCAGTTGGCTTCTCGATGTTAGTGCTGTTCTGAGATTAAGACCATCACTCATATTTTTACTGGTAGTGACATATCAGATCAGGTTTGGCAACATTATGGAGGTTTATTTCAGATTACTATGATTACAGGTGAGAGCATCAGACAGAGATTTCTGCGATGGCATTATTTTAAACAGCTTGATTGGTGTGGACACGTTCTCATCATTATCTCTCTACTAATTTTCTGATTTTTATGGACCGAGAGGAATGAAGTAAAGCATAGGGGTATCCGCATGAAAGCAACACGAATCATTTGGAAGATATATCGTATGATCTCATTCCTTCACACTGGAAGATTACTTCAACCACTACACTGATGTAATGACATGCAGCTTGCTTCACTCTTTAGGATTACTATGACCCTCTCTTTATCTCCTCCCCCTATTATAGTGTGGTGGCACACTCCATTAGTCGGATCTGTTAAGATCAATACTGATGGATGTGTCAAGGATGACTTTGCGGGCGGGGGAGGCATCATCAGAGATCACACAGAAAAATGCATAAGGGCATTCTCAACACCATATGGACAGTGCACGATACTGGAAGCATAACTTAGGGCTATTCTTGATGGGATACTACTAGTTAGAGGTCTTGGATTTTTAGACATCTGGATAAAGGCAGATTCCAGTGTAGCCATTCACTGCATCATCAAAGGTGGAGGACCATGGGCTATTCAAGGCATACTCAGAAAGATTGCAGACATCATCTCCTTCGATAAAGACAGAGTTACCCACATCTACAGAGAAGGAAGCCAGGTTGCAGAAGCTCTTGCCACAGCGAGTTGGGATCACCGGCTATATCAAATGTATGGACTAGCCGAACTACCACGTCATATTAGGGCACTCGTACAAATAGATAGACATGGACTGCCCAACTATAGAAAATAAATGATAATTTTATTTTAATTTTTAGTTTATTCTTGTTT